GTGGATTCCAGTCAATTTTGTGCATTGATGAGACGTAGTCGTTTGAGTTGGGCGTTGGTTCTGCTTGTTGTTCAAAAACTGATGGGTGATCGGTCCGGTATACTTTGGTGATCTGAGGTTTAGGTTTTGCGGAGTCCGCATCCACAACCACCCGAATAGGTCTTGAAGGATCCCATGGAATTTTCTCGCCATTGGGAAGGTAGAAATCACGTCCTTCTTTCTTGACTAGTCCTTCTCGTTCATCTTTCTGTGCTTTGTAACACATTATGGTTGAATGTCCTTCCTTATGACAATAGTAACAGGGTCGAGGTTCATAAAGTCGTCCAGATGGTCAATCATTTCCACGAGAATATTCATTTTTAGGTTGATTCTCCAATTTTCCTGTGAGTGATTCAATTGCTTTTGCCAAGCTATCAACCTGTTTCTGAAGTACTTCCGGAGGGTTGTTGTCCATCATCTTCTCACGCTTTTTTCCGTCGCCTTTCTTCTGGTCCAGAGTCCTTTGCATCGATTGGTTGGCCTCGGCAAATCCACTAGCTGCAAAGACATTGAGTGACCTTGCTCGAATTTCATCCTCAGCTACATCAATGACATCCGAAAGGAGGGGTGGTTTGTTATAACCATCCTTCCCTGTAGGAATAAGGTCTGCCTTGACTAGCTCTTGATTAATGCTTGTCTTTATATCTGTTGAAAAAGCTAAAAAGAAAAGGTGAGAGACACTGGTTTCATTTACTATATGTTCATTTCTTACCAAATACTTAGTTATCATCATGAACTTTGACTGATAAGTTTTGAAATTGTTCAGCTGCTTGATTCCGCCTTTCTTCTGACAGAAATCAATCAAATTTTAAAGGTCCTTAATCGTGTACTGAATCTTCTTTGCCACACCTCCCCAGACTTCTATCATGCTTGCACGAAGAAGTGTCCAGTTCCGCTGCTCGTATGCGTCCATCGATTCCAATTCCTTCTTCAATTCGTCTACCTTCATAAATCTACACACTTGACGTGCTTTGTCATAGCCGCCAGCACCGTAGATCTCTGCTGCCAGTTTGAATCGTTCCAAAAAGTCTTCAAAGTTCTCGCCTTCATATCTTAAGTCTGGTTCCTTGATGATGACTGCAGGTCTAGGCATAGGCTCGTCCATTTCCTGAATTTCCGGAGGTAAGCCGTAGGTTCCTGCAGGGTAGTTTGTTTGTTGGGTGTTCCCAGAGCCAGCTGGGTCGTCGTTTTGTTGATTGTTTTGATGAGCCCCATACCGTTCACGATAGTGCTGTACTTGAGTATGACTTGTTTGTATTGGTGGTGGGGGTAAAAGAGGTGGTATTATTGGTGGATCAATATTCATGTTGGGATTGTTTTGATTGCCAGAGAATATTCCAGTTGAAGCTGGGTTGGTTGTTGGTAGAGTTGGTCCGTCTTGAGCCTGGGAAAACGCCATGACTGAGAATAACTGATTCCGGTTGCTTTATCTTGAGTTGAGTTGTTGATAATTTCTAGTAGTAGTCCTAAATTCTTCTAACTAATTTCGCTGGCGTTCTTATCCAGGGCAAGGTTGGGGGGTTTTGGTTACTAACTAATAATAATACTAATAAAACTAAATAATATGATACTACTATTCAATTATATAGATTCGTGGAGGTTGTCATAGACTAGTATTCTAATTTGCACTGAGTTTTAATCGGCTACCACCTGGTAGTTAAACTTTTTTATCCTAACTACTCTAGTACGTCGGCTAATCGGTCCCCTTGTCTTCTACTTTATAATTGATTCTTGAGTATTTAACTACTTAATCCGGAGCTCTACTAGGTATATCTAAGAACTAAGTCGTATAAAGCTAAACAGAATGTGATTATTTAAAGATATGGTTTGTCACGTGGTCAAAACAGGAATTTTCCTGCCTAAAACTAACTAAAATTCTACTAAAATAAACTATAAAAATCACTACAATGGTTTAGATATATCTAATACACTTGCCAAACTTCAGGATCCTCTATCACGTTGGGGACTCCCTTGTAAAGCTCAAAAGTGTTTGTGAAAACCTTTTGCTGAGTGTGGAAAGGGATGAATGAGGATACCTCTGCCTTTCCTGGATCACTAGACACTAGACAAGCCCACCAATCTCAGATTGGAAGGTTTAATAAAGTGATAGTGGAGTGTATCAAAAGATAACTGTGGCTTAACAGGTGGACAAAGGGTTTAACCCAGTTTATATAGGTCTAAAAGGTTGATTTGAGAGTGAGAGAGTGAGTCTAGCTGATATTTCAATGTAATGGGATGGTATGTAATGGTATGTAAGGGTTTGTAAGGGTAGGGGGTATGAAATAGGTGGATGCTAAACTGAGGGGAAAACAACTGAGAGGAGAGCCTCTTAAATACACAAAGGTGAGGGATTTTAGCTTCAGGGGAACAAGAGAATGAGAGAATTTAGCTGGCCAGAGCTTTACAATGAGGGGATTTAGCTAGTCAGAACATGTACATGAGGTATTTTGGCTGGTTGAGCAACCTACATGATGTCATAAGAGTTATTCTAGCTTGAACTAGAAGTCTACATGAGGGTTTTATGCTGGTGAAGCATTTTACATGAGGTGATGTACTAGTCTGCAAGCTAAGGTGAGGTGATGAATATTACATGAGTGGTGTGAGATAGTCTGACGGCTGCAAGGAAGATTAACAAGTGACATAGCAACAGGACCAGCCTAGAAGCTACATATGTCAAGTGTCAGAAGATAGGGAAGTTGGTAATACCTGTACATAATGATGTGAAGTATGTAGTGTCCTGCCAACGTGCAAGGTGTGTAGTGTGAATGATGTAATTTGTTGTTGATGTTGAGTGTTGAAGTGTTGTCATGGTGTGAGTTGTGTAATTGAGTGTCGTGATGGTCCAGAGAGTGTAGCTTCCAATCCAGTTGAGTTCCAGTGACGCCTCCAGTGGTGACCAAGGGTGAATTTGACCGTAGAATCCAGTTCTTGAGCCATAATGGGTGATTTGTGAGGGTATATATGAGAAAAAAGGTGTAAAAAGTATGTAATTTGTAATAAAAGAAAAAACTGTAAAATTTTTAAATGGGCCAGATGGCTACCCTTAAGGTATACCACATCGTCCGTGTTTCTGTTTGAACCAATGTGATTTGAGTTGTTTGATGATGATTGACTTTGGGAAATTCCAGTCAGATCCAAACCCAAAGGGAGGTCCCTCTCTAAGTTATTCATTGAGATTTTTCTGCCAGCTGGAGGAGTTTGAGACCATCCTGAATACATTATTTTGGGTGAACTTGGAGGCATATCAGCATAGAGGTTTGTGCCGTTGACAACTGAGTCATACTGCATGCATGCATGGAGTGACATTTGGCTTACTGCCAAATATTGCATCCATGCGCTTGTAGCATGGGCATTTGTCCTCCAGCACTTCTTCAAGAGTCTTCTGTCCACTGAGCTCTTCAATCCCAGCACCAGTATGCTTGCTGAACTGCTTTGCAAGGGCAAATATCTTTCTATATCAATCCAAGCAATGTTGAATCTGGGTTCCAGTCAAAGTGCATCACTTATTGCAGTTATTATTCATATAAATCACAGATGTTGTAGGCAGCTGTCTTACTGAGTGCTTGGGGACCCACTTCAGTTTGTTCACCACTTCCATAAATCCTCCAATAATTGTCTGGTTCTTCAAGGTAAGAACAGATCAGTTCATAATCCTCTAGCGTGAAGGCTCCCATTGGGGTCACTGGTGGTGGAAGATTGAGATTGCCCGGTACCAGTTGATTGCAAACGAGTCCCCGTGACTTTGAGATTGAGCAGATTTCTACTTCAGGGAGTTTCATCTTCTCCCTTTTCAGCTTTTTCTCTCTCCTTCTTGCCCTGTTTTGCTTGCTTCTTAATCGCCAATTCCGCACAATACACTTCCATTTTCCTTTTTTTGTTCTTCTTTGTTTCACTTCTATGGTCTGTGGGATTTGAGGAGATTGAGGACAATTGGAACCAGTCGCATCTTGAGGCACTGGTGTGGATGGTGCTTCAATATTGGATGAGGGCATTGCTATGGATGGGTCCAGATTGATCATCTGGTAAAGCAAATTTTCAGATTAGGTGTCTCTGCTTAGAAAAAGGACAAGACTTACCTCAGTCATTTTTATGTTTGAGTGTGAGTTGTGTGTGTTGATGTCTAAAGATGGAGGTGAAGACTTGTGGTGACATGGTGCTCAAGAAGAAGAGATTTAGGCTGAAATTTGTAAGAGCTGTCTAGGTTTCAAGAAGGTCACAGCTTCTTGCCCAATCAATATTTTAGCTTAAAATTTTATGTAAGCATGGCACAAGCAAGAAAAAAAATAGGGGGTGCAAGAAGCAAAAAACGCTATTGTGAACCTGCTAGTGGTTGTTGGATCTATGTACATACATTTAAATTTTACTTAAACATCATGTTTATGTTTTGTGATTCTGAGGGGTTTACCTCAAACCACAAAACATTCAAGACAAACCAACTTGGAATCTCATTGACCCAACCAGGATAAAAAAAATCCAACAATCAAATCAATTTCTAGTCATAGTAGTTAATGACCAATGAAACAAATAGAACATTGAAAAAAAAGTAAAGAGTTGTAACTCCAAGATGATGATGATGATGATGATGATAACCCCCAGCACAGTACAAAACAAAGGGGGATGGGAAGGGAGGGAGGAGACCAATGAAGAAGAGCAAGCTTTCTTTCAAAAAAAAAGAGGAACAAGAACAGGTATAGTTTTTTTTTTTTTAATCCAAGCAATGGGTTATGTATATAATAAAAAAAAAGATTCAAAAACATAAAAAAAGGAAGGAGAGGTTTACATATCAGATGTGTTGAGTAAGTTCTTTTTTTGTGTATTTTTTTGTTTGTTTGGGGTCTTCTCTATCTAGCTTGTAGATGAAGAGAGGGGATGATGTAGGGATGACTACCAAGAGAAGAGAAGAAAGAAAGAGAACAAAAGGAGAGACCCAACCAAAGGGAAAGGCGAAGGACTGCGAGCGATCATCGCATAGCCTTAGCCATAGTTTTACCGGACTTAACAGGGCGATTAAGGGCGGGACGAGAGGAAGGATTAGACTTGGATTGATGAGGAGGATGGTGAGGGGCAGCGCGTCTGGGTCTACTTTGAGGAGTAGGAAGCATATGAGAGCCGTCGGGATGATGTTTGCCCTTATCGCGTTTGGGTGTTTGGAAGCCCAACTGACTTCGGTCGCGTTGGCTGGCTCGGCTAGGGCTACTCATCGGCCCCGCACTGCTACTTCCTCCCATAATCTCTTCCTCGTCTTGGAACTTCAACTTGCGGGGAGCAGCGGGACTCGGCGGCGACGGGAACAATAGCTTCGGACATGACGATCCGAACGGCGATCCTCCTGCGTCATCTAAGTCTTCTGTCGTGTCATATGGTATCCGTTTGCCTCGACTATCATCAAGGAGACGCAAAACGGTTGCAGGAAAAGCGCGCGATTAGATTAGTTTCTTCAGCTCGAGGTCAATTCGCACAAAGGAGTAATAGAATGAAGAGAGGGGTTATTACTAACAAGACGTAAACCAATTTACGATGTTCATCAACGCGTTTAGCGCCAGCGCGACGAGGTTTTTCGCCATCTTTGACAAGGAAAGGATTATTGGGAGTATCCTTGGGAGCACGGGTAGGAGAAGAGGTAGGGGGTGAGAGAGGCGAGGGGGTAGAAGCAGAGGCTTTGAGACGTTTAGTGGACCGAGTAGATTTACGATTGGTCGGACTAGTAGGTGGCGAGCTCAAATCAGAATGATCTTCAAGCACGCGACGCTTCTTGGAGCGCGTCCGAGCGAGTTCTTGCTTGGATTCGATGGCCGCTTCAAGAGCTCGATGAGTATCCCGACGACGACGAGGGGGCTGAGTAACAGGTTGACGAGCCGCGGATGCTTTGCTTCGTGGTGAGACTCTTCGGGGAGCTTGTTGTCGCGCTGGGGATGATGAAGCGAGATGGTCATCGAGGACTAATGCATCTGAGGTGGGAGGCGAGGGTGGTAGAGGGATTTGGGCAGGTAGGAGAGCTGCGGGTTTCTTTCTGATTCTTGAGGGTGAAGAACGCGACGAGGTACGAGACGACATGTTTTTTTTTGTTGTTGGTGTTATTTTTGTTGGCGAGGTGTGTCTGGAGCTGTTCTTCCCGATGACAGATAGCCCGATTCAAGAAGATTGAGTTTGTGAGAAGTAAATAAATAGATCAGATGATGAAGATGATAATGATAGGAATACAGAAGAGACAGAGTCAAGCAGGTCAGATCGCGCGATAGGAGTAGAGTATGAATGTGAGTGTTGATTTGGATAGCTGGAGGGTTTAACGGATGCGAGTTTGAAGATAACCCCGCCCACGCGCCGGTTGTGTGTCTCAAGGGGTTGTTGG